TAAGATCATCAAGTCCAGCCGTTAGTCGATGGGTCAAGTCCAACATCCTTCCCTCTCCCGCCTCCCCTGCGTGCGGGTGTGTGCCCGCAGATATCTCCACGGCTTGCTGCGGGCGGCAGTCGTTTCCAGGGGGCTGCTCCCCGGGGGCAGCGGGGTACGGCTGCGGACTGGGGCTTGGTGGTGCCCAGGGAGCAGCTGGATCGCACCCGAGTCCGCTTCACGCCGGGCAGAGCCTTCCACCCACTGACAGAGCGGGTGTGGAGAACAGGTATCGAGGTCGTGTCCTCAGGAACGTGTGGACATGGACGTTTTGGTGAAATTCGTACTATCGGAAACGTCTTCAGCTGCGTGGAAAGTTCCTTTTCTCTGGGCACTGAGAAGCGTCACGGTGCAAAGTAGTGAGGTGGCGAACCTAGGGATGCGCTTCCATGGAATCCCCACGCGCTCCCTAGGCAGGACTGAGCGCGTGTAGAGGTTTGCGTGGTTAGCCTGGCTGCTCCAGGGCGGCTTCGGTACACCAGGTTTTGTGCGGGTGGTGTTTGCCATCCGGCTGCCTTTCTTCCGTTCATGCAGATGGCCGTGATGATCTCTCTTTTCAGACAGGCCCCAGAGGTACCCTTCAGAGCTACAGCTGGGAAACACAGCTGGAATCCAGCACGGCTCTGCCTGTCTCTCTGGCTGAAGTAAAAAGCAGCACGTAAGGATTGTCTCTAAAATAGTCCTGTGTGACAAGGTCCGGTTTTAAGTTTACTCCATGGCATTGTCACGTGAAGTCATCCTTAGATCTCACAAATATATGCTTGATGTGGCCTTACTGATGGCTGACGAGTGTGCAGCCGCCTGTTTTGGAAGACCTAGATAAAGTGCATAAAATCTGTTTCTTTTTAATCAAGTACGACTAGACTCACTAAAGGAACATGAGGTTTACCTTTTTGGGGTGTTCTTTTTTTTCCATTCTCTGCTCTTGCAGAATAGGATTTTCCCCATATTTCAGCTGACCTGAAATACTGGTATGAGTTTCGTGACATCCCGCTTTCATTGTCTAGGCTCACCACTAAGAGACTTTTCAGCACTTCACACTCTTCAGTGGATTCAGAGGAAATGAAAAGATTCCAGCTCCTCGCACACAAGTGGTGGGATGAAGAGGGAGAGTATGCAGCCCTTCATTCTATGAATGACATCAGAGTGCCGTTTATCAGGTACGGCTTTGGAGACGGCTTTATTTTGAATGTGTGCTGTTTCTGCAGAACCTCAGAAAACACCCTAGAAGAAGGAACAGCTGCCAGTGCTTCAGATAATACCGCATCAAACCCCCTTGTGTGTTTGCCCTCGATCACGCCCCTTTTCTTGCAGAGATACTCTGTTGAACCTGCGTAGGAACTATCACCTGGGAAAGCCGCTCGCTGGAGTGAAGATTCTGGACGTTGGCTGTGGCGGTGGCCTGCTGAGTGAGGTAAGGGCCAGCGTGCTCCAGTTTCTCGTGCTAAAAGGCAGACGAAGGTTTTGAATCGTTCTACTATTACACCGTTTACTGCTCCGAGGAGGAGCTTTTCTCTCCTACGATACCTTAGTGACCGAGTGTTTTGGAGTGCTGTGCGTTCTACATGCCCTGTGGGATATTGGCTTTGCGTAGTGGTGGTGGTTTACAGAAAAGGAGGGAACTGGTAATGAGAAATTCTGAAATGCTGGGGTTCATCAGAAAAGATTTCAGACACTGTAAGGAGAAGGAGAGGGGAAGAATGATGTCAAAGCATTCCTCTGGGCAGTCACCGTACGACAACTACGACTTCTTTTTCTTCTTCTACTTCTGAGCCCAGGCAAGAACACTTCAGTCAGAACAATCTGTGATACCAAGGAAGTATTTTCTATTCTGAACTTGTTCTTACATGCCTGTTTCTTTGACTTGCCTCTCTTCATTTTTTTTATACTGTGGGCGGGGATTCTGGCCTTTGCTTTGATCTCCTGGGAAAAGCACGGAATTATGTCAAAACACCTGAGGCACATCGTCTCTCTGCCGGGAGAGATTCCCCTGGTGCAGGGGCTGATGTTACAGCCGCTTCCCGAGGAGCCTGCACGACCTCGGGACCGAGGAGTATCTCTGTAGTGGAACCCTGCGGCAGTGCAGGCTGTGAACAGTGCTACATCCTGTCAATAGACAAGGGATGGTTTGTGAGTTTAGGGTTACAGATCTGGCTGAGGTACTCCGGGAACTTCATCAGCACCTGAAACAAGGTGTTACAAAGGGACCTGCCTCTCTCCCTGTGCTTTCTTCTCTTTTTTTTCCTTTCTTTTCTCCTTCTGAGCAAAAGTCTGCAGTCTCGTGTGAGCACACTCTAACAAGGCTGCACGGCATCACGTCCTCGGGCTGCACCAACCAGTGAATTTCAGGTTGGAATAACATACATGTGGTCATGTTCTGCACCTTGTTTCAGTTTCGGAAGGGGTGATGGCTGAGGTGTTAACCTATGAGTAAGAAGACACTGGAGAAACTTGAGTGACAGCCAAGCCTGATGCTATCCTAGTGAACATCAGTGTTTAGTTCTCAGCAGTGAGAAAGCCCCAGAGATAATCATGTCTTAAGTAACCATTAAAAAGAGATGAAGATTTACCGTTACAGGTGGATGTTGGAGAAAGTAATGATGCTAATTAAATATGGCATTGTTTTCCCTGCTTTGTTTTTCTTCTGTTAGAGGGTAATAGTGAAGGAAATCTTTGTTTGCTGTAACAAAATGGATTCAGAAGAATGTATTCTGAAGGAAAATGTAAACGTGCACATTCTAAAATACAATTTTCCAAGAAACACCACCTCCCCCAAATCTAAGGATTTTCTTGCTTTAATGAATGTTTAAAATAAAACTGCTGGATCAGAGCTCATCATTTACTGTTGTCTTACCCTCTGGTAGATGTTCTCTGCATCGTGTGTGTACGTTGCAGAGTTGCAAAAACCTTTAAGTAAATTGTTTTCATGCAGAGACTAAATTATCCCCTGTATTATTAGCCTCTAGGCAGACTGGGAGCTTCAGTTACTGGAATCGATCCTCTGGAGGACAACATCAGAACAGCAGATCAGCACAAGTCATTTGATCCTGTCCTGGCCAAGAGAATACAGTACAAGTCCAGCTCACTGGAGGAGATTGTGGATGAGTCTGTGGAAACCTTTGATGTAATCGTAGCTTCTGAAGTAGTGGAGCATGTGGCTGACCTTGAAATGTTTATCAAGTGTTGCTCTCAGGTGTTAAAGGTAAGAGAGCTTTTGCTTTCATTATTGGGAGTGTTTATTCTGTATTAGTAAGGCTTTCATTTGAAGGCATGTGAAAACGTCTAAATCTGCATTCATTCCTCTGCCTTGAAGCGCATGAGATCTGAATCACACTCCACCTTCCATTCTCCTCCATGACATGAGTGCCTCTTCCCAAGTTCAGTAACTAAGGAGGGAGTTTATTTCCCCAGCCCTGCCCCACGAGAGCGTTAATGGCATCGCAGCGTTGCTTTGCGTCGAGCCCTCGAGAAATCTGGTTGCCTCTGATTTTACCTAGTGAGAGAAAACACAGCAGCGCTGCTGCTGACCACACTGTGCCGTGATCACACCTGTGGCTGTGGCTCACGCTCCACTGAAACGGACTCTAGTGATGTTTCTGATTCCCGAGATTCTATTCCAGCACTGGCGTCCACATCACATGTGGCCCTGGGTTGCTTTCCAAGGGCCAAAGTTATGCTTGGAGATAATCGGGTATTGTTTTATCCTTCTTGATATTATTTCATTTGTGAAGGATGGTGGGACCAGTACGCAAGCAGCAGCTTCCCTTTAATCTCCTGATTTATCCTTCTGGTCATCGGAAGGAACATAGATTATTTGAGAGGAACGCTTAACTAATTTTCAGCCTGCTGGGGACATAAAAATTACTCTCTATTTCTACCAAACAGGCTTAAGTACTTAGAATTCATTTCTGGTTTTGCTTTTTTGACTCTGTAATCGCTAAAACAAGCATGGTGTTTGGCAGTCTCAAACATTAGGCAGCATTGCACATCTTGCTTTGTTTTTCATTAAAAGAAAATGTTTCTTTTCTCCAGTAGGTATTGTAGTATATACCTTAATACCTTTTTATTTATCTACTTCCTGAGCAATGTTACATTATAAGTGACTTTGTTAGATGTTTCTTGGGCAAGGGAATAATTGTCAGACCATCCAAGACTTTGATTATTTTTGACTCTGAAGACTACGGAGTCATACTGCTAGAACATTATATTCTTCAGTGTATTTAACTGGTATACTTGTAAATACCTATCGTGGGATGAAATTAGTTCTTACTTGTGCAGCATACAGACTTGTAGATAGACAAATTGTGTGTTTTAATGCGATTAAATTTACAATTTTTATTCAAGTAAAATGTTCTTCTAACTGAACATTTTAATTTTTAAATTAGCCTGAAGGTTCTTTGTTCATTACTACAATCAATAAAACGCAGTTGTCCTATGTCCTGGGGATTGTGGTTGCAGAAAAAATCCTGGGCATTGTACCAGAAGGGACACATGAGTGGGAGAAGTTTGTTCCCCCGGAAGAGCTGGAGCGCCTGCTGGAATCAAGTAAGTTCTAGGCTGGAATGCAGAGGCATACCCAAATGCTCCTTGTAGAAGTGGCAAGAGGGTAAGATGGGTGGGGTGAGTGCTAGCAACAGCACGCAGCTTTTCCTCTCTGAGTACGGTCATATTACGCATACAATTCCTCGTTTAAAGACACTGCTGCTGGCTGGATTTTGGATAAAATAAATAAATAAAGGGGAGTCCTAAGAATGTAGAGATTACTCGGCCAAAATCACTGTTACAGCTGCTCTCTGATAGCCTAAATGGAAATTCCAAGGTTCTTGATCCTGTTCTGGTGACAGAAGGTATGCTCTGAGGTGGTTCATAGGCTTTAGGTCAGGTTTGAGAAAATAACTGCCTTGGTTCTCCAGAGCTGCACTGCTGCCACTGCATCGTCTGTCACCTTCCCCCTGGGAGAAGGCATTTTCATTTTTGGTTCCTGCTGCATGGTTTTTATTCATAGTGTGCTACTAAAAGATTTCTTAAAAAACGTGAAGAAATTTAAAAACGTGAAGAAATGAAACCTCCCTCAGATTCATTAATCAGTTCTTGAGAGACTGTATGGTACTGATTTGAGGAAGTAATTAAATTGCCCTGGTTTGACTGGTTTGAAAATAGACAAAGCGCTGAGCTGGGAAGAGGTCTGCTCATTGCCCTCCTTCCCTGCAGATGCTTGGAAACCCTCCCACCGAGTATTTCACTTTGCTGTAGTTCACTGTGAAGAAGCTGAAGGTCAGAGTTGAGCTATTCTCTTGGCAAGGTCTTCTCCTGGCACATCGCAGGTCTGCCGTAAGCAACGTGACTAATACTTGTTCACAGGCTGGTGGCTCTTTCCGTTCTCCCTTCAAAAGGAGAAGCAGATGCAGCGGAGGGATTTATTTTGACAGGGTGTTGTCGTGGTTTAACTCC